GGGTGGGCCCCAAGGGCGGGGGGACCTGTGCGGAGTTCGGCTTCTCGCGTGCACCTACATTGTTTTTAATTTCCTCGGAAAAGTCAAGTTCTGCTTCCTGTGCCCTTATGCGGGAATAAGGTATGAATAAGAGATTACTCAGTGTGGGTAATAACTGCAGCTTAGGCTGTGTTTAAGTTGGCTTTATTTAGGGTATGAGAAAATAACATGATCAGAAAATGCTTAAGATTACAGAACAGAGATGAGCTCGGACCTGCCATAGGCAAAGGTCAGATAGACAGCTTAGTTGTAAACTAGACAGTAGGGAAGGATGATAGTTGTTTATTACCTTGTTGGTTAAATTACATTATACATATTTGCATAAGGCTGATTAAAAAAAAAAAAAAGTCTGCATTGGAAGGGTGTTTCTGTGGCATTTCTGTGTTCATTTGGAGGTTTCCATTTGCAGAATGTGAATTCTAGTCACAGCCCCTCTATGTCTTTGTTTTAGGTTTATAGCTCTGTCAAGATAACATTGCTCTTTCTGCCTCAGCTACTACGTAGGTCCTCTGCCTGTAGCAGGAAGTGCAAACTGGTGCTTGTCTGCTGTCAAGTTGTAATTTCAGTGCTCACACTCCTTTAGCTCACGATGACGCCATCTGGTCAGTTGCCTGGGGAAAGAATAAAAAAGATGGTTCCGAAACAGTGATCTCTGGTTCCTTGGATGATCTGGTGAAAGTCTGGAAGTGGTAAGTGTTCAGTGCTGGACAGATAAACCAGCTTTAACCCTTGGGAAGAGCGCTGCAAGTGTAGCAGTATTGAATTTCCCTAGCACCCAAGGACGGCAGCAGTTACGCATTGGTGACGCGCACCCAGCCCTTCTGTTGAGCAGACTTGCTTTTGCTGGTGTGGGCTTTCCCTTGGAGTGCTGCACTATGTGCTTTAATTTTTAGGAAGAACAGCCCCTTTTGAAAAGATACATGAAGCCTTACATGTCTTTTGCTAGAGAACAGTAGAACTGCATGTGTTTCTTAGTCAAAGGATTGGAAATGCAATTTCTTGAAAGACTGACGTTGAGGCTGTGTGTACTGTAAAAGGAACAGGAGGAGTAGTGTAGAGTGGGAAAATGTGACATTTTTTCCTTCGAAAAGATCGTCCTTTTGAAATCCTCATCCTTGAAAAGGATGAAGGTGTTCCTAAAGATCCTCATGCAAGTAACATGGAGGTGTGCCATTGCAAAGAAATTGTTCTCTGTCTTTATGGAAGCAACGTTAACCATGTACTTCACTTTAAATACATGAGTAGCTCTGTTGCAATATTATATAAATGTTAATGTATTTCATGCCATGCTGGCAAATTAAATCTGTTATGGAAGTTGCCATTACTGCTGTGTAATGGAGATTTCAGTGGGACTATCTGCAAACTTGAAATGAAGCATGTCCTTTGTGGAAATATGGTAAACAATTAACTTGTTGTCTGTGTACTTAAGAAAATGAAACAATTTGTGATAGCTGCCTTGGCTTTCCATGGCTACTAGATTCAGCTTTTGCTGAGCGAAATGGAGAATTGCAGGTTATTGTGTTTGCTATGTCTGAGCTTGGAGGGAGGTTCAATACCCCCAGCTATTCCTAACTAGGCTTTTGTTTCCCTTCATCAAAAGGAATGATGAAAAACTGGATCTCCAGTGGACTTTAGAGGGCCATCAGCTGGGGGTGGTATCCGTGGATATCAGCCATACGGGTTCCATTGCAGCATCCAGCTCCCTCGATGCCCACATTCGCCTTTGGGATTTAGAAACCGGCAAACAGATCAAGTCCATAGATGCTGGACCTGGTAAGATACCAGGGTTAAGCTGTCTCTGTGTAAGAAGTGCCCCCTAACTGTGTAGTGTGCTGTATTTACTATTGAGGGGAAGTGTATGAGGTGACTAGGGCTTTTTTAATATAGAATTCTTTATCTTGAATTTGCAATTTTAATGTTGGTGATTTTATCCATTAAAGTGTTATCAGCCCCTTTTACATCTATTTGTCAGCATTATTTGCATGTTCTTAGATACACTTACTTATAGATTTACATTTTCCTAGATGCATAAAGCAGAATTGGAACCAGCCTGCTATTACAGATGTATCGATATAGTGATATTTTAAAAAATGACTCAAACACAGATTTGGATAGATTTACAGAGAAATTGCCAGTTCTTTCCTACTGCATCTGCACTGTATGTGCATGTACAAGCAATTTATGTGATGCTCCTTTATGAGGTTACATTCTAGCATGAGGTAGTCGTGCTAGACTACTTCAAAATAAGGTAAAGCTGAAATCTAGATCAACATTGCGTCCTCCAACCTGGAATTCAGGGTCTAAAATCTTACTCAAAAGACTTCACTGGCTCAGTGGCAATCTGCAATTCTAAGATTAATTTTGCAGGCTTCTGGATAAATATGAAGCATATAGAAAGATTTGTAAAATACATAGTGCTAGATAAATCCATTACATTCCTTGCAATTTAATTACAAAAGCTTTTATCTACAGTAATGCTGATCCATGTTGCAACCCTGTATCTGCATGTTCCTCCTGCACCAAGCACGTTCTGCTTTGCAGGCTGTTAGTGCTGCCTTAAATGGCTAACCAGGTGCATACAAAGCTGCTGTTATTGGCTGAGAAATAGAAAAAAAATCAACTAACCGAGTTTTTCTTTTTAATACAGTTGATGCTTGGTCTCTGGCTTTTTCACCTGATTCCCAGTACCTTGCCACAGGAAGTCATGTGGGAAAAGTAAATATTTTTGGCGTTGAAACTGGAAAAAAAGAATACTCTCTGGACACTAGAGGAAAGTTCATCCTTAGCATTGCATATGTAAGAAGTGCATCTGATTATCTCTTACAGTTGCTGTTGTTGTAATATGTTGTAAATCATTTTTTTTCTTCCCATCCGTTACTCTATCTCTACATACTTTGACAGTTGCAAATTCAAACTGCTTGACATTCCCCAGTGAATATATGGAAAATATACTTTGATCTTACTTAGTCAACACGTTGTGACTATGCAAGCTGAAGTCTGCAGGATTTTTAGAGCCCAAGTATCTTAAATAGATCATATTTGTGATGAGGTGCCAAGAAAGTGTGTGTATATGGGGGGTGGTACCTAGCATAAATGATACACATTTAGCATCTGTCTGAATTTAATTTCTGTGTTTTATTACAGAGTCCAGATGGAAAATACTTAGCCAGCGGAGCAATAGATGGCATTATCAATATTTTTGATATTGCAACTGGAAAACTTCTGCACACGCTAGAAGGTAATGGTTTGCATATTTGCAATACTCAAGTTCTGACTTAATTCCTGAACAAAAATAAAGTGTATAATGTAAGTCAGAATGAGATGCAATAGGCATGACGTAAATGAGTTGATGTTTCTGTCCACTAGACAATATTCAGTTACTTACTTAGCATGGTCTCATACTTAAAATATTAGAAACAAACTGTAAACTCAGCCTTGTATCATGAATGCCTACCTTAAAACATATAGCCAGTAAAGCTGAGCCAATTCTTAAATTGCAGTTCTTGTATTCCAGTGTAGTACAAGTGAATGAAGCTAAGCCAAGTCTGTGCTACAGTATCTCATTTTTCTTTTCATTACGGTATCCAGCTTTGTGTGGTTCCTAGATTTATAGTAACTTGTTTCTATTACTAGAAAAGAACTGAGCATTTTATGCCCTAAAAGACTTGCATTTTCCTAACAGATAAGCATGCTTTTAATGTTTATGTAATTTCTCTCTAGCACTGTAATGTAATTACAAGACCCCTGCAATTGAAATTGTTATGAAATCATACTAGAAAATATGATGTTGATCATATTAGAAAGCACTATGATACCAGAAAATTGCCATGTATTTCCACTCCTGTGCTGCAGTCAGCATGCCTTAATATCAGAAGTTGGAGGTCACTGTCAGCTTCTGTCCTGCACTGTGCGGAGAAGCCTGTAGAGGCACGCAGAGTTAAGTTCTTCTTTCGACAGGGAACCCAAACCTCACGCAACTCCAGCGCTGTCATTACTAGCAGAAATGGCTGCGTTCTGAGCTGTGTAACTTTGCCTTTCAGGTCATGCGATGCCTATTCGGTCACTGACATTTTCTCCAGATTCCCAGTTACTCGTAACTGCTTCAGATGACGGCTATATCAAGATCTATGATGTGTAAGTTGTGACAGGGTGTGTTAGCAAGAAAACTATCTATTCTGAGAAGCTGCTATTGTATCAAGACTGCTTTCCAATTCCCTTAAGCTTTTTTGTAGTTCTACATATCAATTCGATAAAATACAGAATCCTATATATTTTTCTATAGGAAACAGGCTAAACGTTTTGTGTACCTGCCGTGAGTGTTTGTGCTTAGCATCTTAAGCTTCTGTTACGTACTCAAGAAATGTTGTTTTCAACTTGTTCTCTTGTGCTGTGCGAAAACTTGGGAGGATCAGGGTAGGGGGAAGCACTGCTTCAGTATCTCAGTTCCCTTAAACCTGCATTACTGTCTCTCCTTCATGAAAGTCACATTTTCCTATGTTAACTCTTTGAAGGGGAAAGATAGAATCTAGTATAAAAATGCCAGTCAGCTTGGATGAGTAAATGTCCAGAAGGGACCTTCTGTGACCTGCCAACCATTCCGGACTGCATTATCTACAATTAGTTTCTGTGACTTTTTTTCTCTGGGATTCACCAACCTGATGTTAATGTTAAAACTCTGCTTTCTTTTTTTGTTTTCTCCACAGACAACATGCAAACTTGGCTGGCACATTAAGCGGTCACGGATCCTGGGTATTAAATGTAGCATTTTGTCCTGACGATACTCACTTCGTTTCCAGGTACTGAGCATTTTCACTTGTTCATGTATACTTAAAAAACTATATATATATTCATAATGGGAGACAGAAAGGTCCATGTGTGCAAATGGAGAAGGAATCTGTAACAGATTAGCATATATTATTACACTATGGTAAAGGACAGAAGCCAACCTGTAATGTGATACAATTGTAGTGAATAGTGTTCTAGTCTTAAATCACCTCCCACTGAAGCTCCTGCAAGTGGAAGACGTTTTAACCTAAGAGATCCTGATCTGGATTTTTCTATTTGAAAAAGTGCTATTAATTTAACAAATACTACCTGATCTAGTTGTGTATGTCAGTCTAGAAAAACTTTAGTGTTAACTCCTAAAATAGTATAGGCAGTTGGGGAACCTACACTAGGTAACGGGAGAACTCGCATCAGAGAATTTTCTGGCTAAAACTTAAGTCCTCATTTATTTTCACGTTGCAGATACTGAAACAGTAAATATATTTTAAGTGTAACTGGAACCTCGTTGAAGATGCAGTCATGTGCTGCTTTAATCTTATATTTGAGGGGTAAAAGGGGGTCCCCTGTATCCTGTATGGGATCTTTAACCTCTGAATTGTAGTTAATTATTAATTTAGATATTGAGCAATAATTTTGTTATTGTTTTCTTTTGTGTTTTCAGTTCATCTGATAAAAGTGTAAAAGTTTGGGATGCTGGAACAAGAACCTGTGTTCACACTTTCTTTGACCATCAAGATCAGGTATATCATCAACTTAAAATTGTTCTGTCTGCTGTTGCAGATTATAGGTTTTTAATAAATCCTGTTCCACATTTTGATACTCAAGTATGAAGCAGAACTGGATTTCCAGTGTTCTGGGCATTGCCTGTATTCTCATGAATGTGTGGGAGGCAGAGGTGTGTCACCCTTAGTGTAAGGCCAGCCTTTGCAAGAACTAGTGCCAAATAGTGCATGAGATGCCCCCCAAAATGCCCATACAAATATGGCTGTTGGATAATCTCATTTTAGAGCCTTTATTCCTCTTGGTCTTGTCCTGGTGATGGGGTTATTTAAGGATTAATTTAACTGTCATATGTTTAAGTCACAGGACTGAATTTCTTCATCAAAGCTATCTACATATCAGTGCAAAACATAATTAGCCCAAGGATGACCACAGTCATTCTTCAGTCTGCATGGAAACTATTTCATTTACTTTCCTAAAGCATTAGGAAGCACTAATTTCAGAAATGAAGATAAGGTGGGGAAGTGAAAATGGTAGGTAATCCTGGAGGAGATTCCTGGATTGGAATCCTGGGCAGATTCATTGCAGATGCAGTCTAAGAAAGCACCAGACAAAGCTACTGTCCAGAGACGTGGAATGCCCAAATGTGACTGGCAACTAGGTGGCACTGCTTTACTGTGGTTCATCCACCTCAGCTGCTCTTGAAATTGCCCTGTCACACTTGGTTCCAGATTACAGGGTCCTGTTTCAAGGGATACTCCCTCTTCTGCTGCTTATTGTTGATAAATGAGTTATGTGTTTGTGATATAGCAAATCAAGTCATTTTTCTTCTCAGTTTTTCTCCTCAATAACCTTTTGCCTATCCTATTTGCAGGTTTGGGGAGTGAAATATAATGGAAGTGGTTCCAAAATTGTATCTGTTGGAGATGACCAAGAAATCCATATTTATGACTGTCCACTTTAAACAACCTCATGCCTTTTGGTCAGTTCTTATGCTATTGTTTATAAATGTTATTTTTTAATATAAGCATTTTAGTAATGCTGATCTGAATTGAAATCAGATATGTTTATAGGTAATCTTGGTTATGTTTAGCATGGGAGAAGGCTTTTTTTCCCTAAATAAAAATAATTATGGAAGCAAGTAACTTGTGTCTAAAGCTTGGAAAAAATGTGTTTCTCTAAATATGTACTCAGGGATGAATTAACTGCTCAGTTAAGTCTACCAGTGCTATTTCTCCCCTGACTTTATATAAATAGACTGGAACTGGAAAGGATTGAGCACATCTAACAGAAGCTCATTTTAGACGAAGTGACTGGGGGCAGCTGTAGGAAGGGGAAGGGATAGTCCTTGTTCATCCTCATGGCAGGGAGGGGTTATTTAAGTTGAACACCTGTTCCGGTAATTTTATGTTAGCAGAAGGCACATTAGTCATCCGTTACAGGGGATTTTGAGGGTGACTATCCAGCTTCAGCAAGGAAGGGCAAGGGGAAGCTATTCTAACACAACAGGGAAGAGCAAAGGGGAAAAAACAGCATTATCATTTTACAAGAGTACAGTATGCTAATAAAACAGTGAGGAAGGGGGAGGCCATCATGTTTTATTACTACAATTAAGACTTGACTCTCCAACCTTCAACAGGAACAAAATAGTCCCTGGCAGAAGAATAAATAGATTGAATTTCAGAAAGGTTAACTTTAGGATGGATGTGATCTAAGAATAATGAAATGGTGCATTACAGATGTAATTATAAGAAACAGAAGTGTTAAAAAAAGAACCTTTCCTGATCAGGTCAAGTAGAAGACTACAACAGTTAAGTAAACAAGGGACAGTAAACAACTACAGTTAAGTAAATAAGGGAGGAGCCCAAACTCCCTTCTTTAAAGAAAATAGCAAAAGCAAGTTAACAGCCATTGGGGATGATACAGGTAAAGTCTAACATTAAAAGGAACCTAAATGTGATTCTACAGTGGATAAGAGCATGATAAATGTGAAGAATGCCGTTTATTAGAAGTCATTTATGCTATCTTTTATTCTATGAAATTAATTTTCCAGTATGAAAATATTTACATAAGACACTCCACTCAGCTCTTATGAATATTGCAAGTCTTATATAAATAGCATAGGTGAAATAAATTGAGAACCTTTACAGCAAAGGAAGATGTATACCAACTCAGTTGGTTCTCAGCTGTGTAACATTTGCCTTATATATAAAGACTACAAGAACACAATATAAATTAGTTACAAAAAAAAGTGATACTGACAGCGCAGCAACTCAATTTGCTGAACACAAAACCCACAAGCAGTGGCTATTACAGCCATGCAGTTTTCATTGTGAAAATTTACGTTTTAGATGACATACATTCCACCTTGCTTTAAGATGTTTGACACTGTACTCCTGTTCTTGGACTCTCCTCATCTTCTTCATATGCTTCTCCCCCACTGTTACGGTAGGTTTGCTCGCTTGGATCAAAGTCTTCCAGGTCAACCTGGTCCATATCATCTGTGATCATTACATCTTCTCGTGGAGGAAGCAGAGCCTCCAACAGAGACAGTTTCTCCCTTGGAAGCCAGTAATGCTCTGGGAACTGGACCTACAATGATTTTTTTTCCAAAATGAATTTCTTATCATAAAGGGTATCTATTATTTGCTACAGATGAGCAAACAGTCAACTTACCAAGAACTGTATAATTAGACTGCCTTTGTCCAGGGGAGATTTGTAGATAGGCATCCCTTCATTTTGGATGCACTTCAAGTCACCATGTTTTATCACTTCACCTGGACACAGATAAGAGCTTTAAGTCATCTTAAGTGACATATTATGACCATAAAATTTTCAAAAGCTGTGTCCCTACAGCATCTAGGGGATACTCCAAAGCAGCCAAGAGAAATCACAGATTAGAAAATAATTGAAACATGATATAGACACTATACAAAATCTCATCTAGGATTTTACTTTCTGCTAGTATAGAAGACCTAGTTCCTCTTAGCACAGCCTTCAGACTGAATTAATGATCAAGGGCAGCTCAAGTTCCTGGAATCCTGAGTCCTTCCCTTGTCACTCCACCAACTGAGGTAGGTTTAAGACCTACACAAAGCTTTATGTGTGTAAAGCTTACATATAGCTTTAGCTTCATGCATGTGAAGAGTTACAGAAGGAATGACAAGAATGATAAAGAGCTCAGTGAACTAACTAGCACCATTTGAATTTGTTAACTGCTGAAACCATGTCTAGTACAATGAACAATAAGCAGTCTGTACAGCATTACAACCTGGAAGGCCTACCTGGTCTAGATGTTATTACAAGGACTCTGTTATCAAGAGTTTCAATGGTCTTTTTGAAGCCGCACAAAGCCTCTGAGAGTTGAATTCTCATTTTTGTAATTAAGTCATGCCCTCGCCTCTGAAAGACACCGTGATCCTTCTGATCAAGCACAATTATAACATCACCAGGCTCCAGATCAGGCTCCTGATCACCTTCTCCATGAAATACTATCTTCTGACCATCTTTCATACCTGGGAAAAGAAAAAATCTTTTTTTTCCTTGCAGAAATATACTACACATATAGACACAGAGCAAATATACCAGTCTTACCTTTATCAACATGAACTTCTATTATCTTTTTCTCTCTTACAACCTTACAGCCATTGCAGGTCTCACACCTGTCCTTTGGATTTATTCTTTCACCTTGGCCTTTGCATTCTGGACACACAGTTTGGATTTGTTGTACCATACCAGGTCCAATCTGCTGAACTATAACTTGCATTCCTCTTCCTTTACACACAGGACACTTTTCTACAGACCCTTTCTTTCCACCATAACCTTCAACAACAACAACAACAACAACAACGTTAAATCTGATCTCAGTCTCAGAGAAGAGAGAAAACACAACAGAACAGGTGCATTCATGCAACAATAGGCTACAACTCATTGGAAAGCCAGTTTTTAGCTTCAAGAGAACTTTTGGGGTGGCTTCTACACACACAGTTGTAGATTTGCAATGTAGTTGGAATTTGGTTTCCAACACAAAACATGCTGTAAAATTTAGAGTTTCTACAGGCAAAGTAAAGCTTAATTTTTATTTTATGCAGTATTTCATTTGCTTTCTCCACTCAATGCATCTTGGTATTCAAGGAACTATCAGCATACTGACCTGACTTCTTCAAAAGCCAGATGTTCCATTAACACTTTGGAAAGAATGTGTTGGCTAAAAATTTAATAAATTACTAAGATATAAGATCTCATTAAAAACTACCTCAACATGACTAGTCATTAGAGATGCTTAATAATTGTGAGTTGCATAACATAAGCAAGACTTCTACCCACACCAACTCTAAAAGAAGGCTTTAACAAAACAGCTGTTACTAAACCTACAAATTGAGATACTCTTAATTAACATGCCCTTAATCATCACTCCCAGGGACTTCAAGTCTGCTATTAACTAGTTTTGCACTACAATATTAGGAAGAGATAGCCTTATTCCTGGCTAAGAATAGGCAAAAACAGTCTAAAGGCTATATACCCTCTGCAGATGTTCAGAAAGTCACACTTTTTTCCTTCCTCCAGTATGTACATACACATATATATATATGAGGGGAGTGGGGGGTAAAGAGAGTTCAAGACCACTTCTTATTTTACCTTCACATTTGGAACAAATTACATTCTTTTGCAGTGCTAGTTTCCTTGTAATACCATTATATAAGTCTTCAAGAGATACACCTAACTGGTGCACAACATTCTTGCCTTCAAGGGGAGGGAAAAAAAAAAAAAAAAAAGATTAGTTTTGGTTCAGCTATTATGAGGACTAATATTTATTTAAAAGTTTCTACACTTGTTCATACATGCAGTCTCACAGAAGAAATGTAAAGTTCATTCCAAACTTGCAGCACAGCTCAGCCCCTTTAAAGCATGTGCAATATCAGCTTCCAGAACTGCACCCACTAATGTCAGAACATAAAGTTTAGCTGTAATTAAGCAAAGCATCATTAAAGCATGAGCCCTCCTTTTGGCCCTAACTTTATAAGCTTAACTGAAATAGCAAGATGTAAGGACACTACCAGCTTTAGTTCTAGCCAATTCAGACATTGCTATTATGCCTACCTATGTATTTCCATGCCACTTTGTAGCATGACTTTAAAAGACTTTACAGCAATTTACCACTTGCTCTTTCAACAAACAGGGAGGATGGAAAAAGAAATTGCGCTGTGCTTTTGGCAGCACTTTGTACTTAGTTTCATATTTTTACATGGCAATTTCCCACAAATGTTTTCATGAGATATAACATTAGGTAAGTTTAAGTTGATGGTGTCCTTTGAAGCAAGTTACACAAAGCATTATGAGCAAGTGAGGCAAAGATCTGGAAAGAATGTAACTTAAAAACATGTCAACTGCTCTAACTATCTCTTGACCAATAGCCTTCCCCCTCCCCTCCAGATTACCCATATCCATTTTAACAAAAATGGAACAAAAGCACTGATCATAAAGATTGCTATGGCTATATCATGTTATCATCCATTTTATTATAATCTTATTACTATAACAACTAAAATCATAGCTTACTTGATCTACTATTGCAACTAGTAATAACCACACTATGTGCACTTAGCAGAACAGCAGTACCACACCACATGTGTTTTATGCTTAAGTGCATGATTAGAGTTTCTAGAACTTGTTTAGAACTGTGTACCTCTTCTCTCTCTATTCATTCGGCCTCCACCACCAAAGAACATGTCAAAGATGTCCATGGGTGAAGAGAAGCTGCCGCCACTCAGGCCTCCTTCTTTAATAGCCTGCTCCCCACCCTGGTCATAGAGGTCCCTTTTCTTTGGGTCCGACAGAACTTCATATGCCTGGGATATGAGTTTAAACTAAAAAGAAAAAAGAAGCTCTGAACAACTATGACCAAGAGGAAAAATAACCCTCTTATATGCAACTGGATCTTCAGATGGAGTAGCTATAAGATTTTCTTGTAGCATTTGTCCTTTTTCCCCCAGAGTAAGCTCCCTAAACAAACATGTAACAGACTTTTGCCCAGAAGGCCCACCCCCTTTCTCCCTCCCCACTACCCACACATTGCAAGTGAACCAAGTTCAGTCACATCTAACTTACAAGCATATGCAAACTATAGCTCTTTGAGCATAGTGTTAGTGGCAGCCATTACACAGCTCTGACAAGGCCCTGCTGGAAGGGATTCAGTACTACCCTCAAGTCTTGGGGGTTCCCAGATGCTCCCTAGCCACAGCAGTACCAGTCACTCTAGGTCTACACAGGATCCTTTATGGCATCTCTGCTGCTGTATTCAGCTACAACTAGGACATTTAACCTTAAGTGACCAGATATTAGTGTTGACTACTCATTGCAAATTGAAGCATTTAAGAACAAAATACCAACTTTTTCCCAAAAATTACAGACTTTCTAAAATTATCAAGTATTTTCTCCTCTTACTAAGATAGGTGATTCCAGTTTGACAGTCCATTACTTGGGACTAGGAAAACTGGTAAACCAAAAAAGCTGGAAGGTTTAGTTTTGTAAATCAGCACAGCAGAAATATAGTTTCTGCTCCTATGTAAGACATTAATGAGCCTATCATTCAAGTTTGATTAGTTTTCTCTCACTCTCCAAATATGGTGCTCCTTTATCCTCTTGGGCAACACAGGGAGGCAAGTGCCTCTAATCACATGTAAGCTTTTTTACTGTAAACAGTTCACCCTCATACTGTCCAATGTGTTCTTCTGGACTGTTACCTTCTGCATCTGCATTCCCAGTTCCCTGAAAAACTTCACTGTGTTTGGGAGCACAACTCCACCCAGCACAACTTCAACACACACAGCAGCCCAAGCAGCCAGTGCCAGCATTGACCTTCACAGCGCCTGATACAGCATGAGGGCCATCAGGACGCTGGCCTTTGCTTCATTTTTGCCTGTTTTAACAAGCAACACCACTAAGATTAGACACCCATTAGCAGCTGTAAGCAACGAGGGCACCAGTAGAAACTGTGCCCAGAATAAGAGATGGAGCCAATGGACCCACTTCTTTAGGCCTGCTGTCACCAGGTCTGGTGCATGTTTGCTGCAGAGCAGGAATCTCCATTTAAATGCACTATACTGGTTTGGATAGACGGAGAATTTAATCCGAAATAAATTAAAGGAAGCTCCTGGGCAGGCGAGTAGGGCCTGGCCCCCCCCACAGCTCGCGCGAGCTCCGCCTGCTCCGGGCGCCCATCTTGAGGCCCAGGCCCGCTCCGCGCTGGCCGCCCCGGTGCGCGCCTACCCGCTCGCCCTCGCTGGGGTTCTTGTCGGGGTGGTACTTGAGCGCCAGCTTGCGGTAGGCGCGTTTGATCTCCTCCGAAGAAGCGCTGGGCTTCACCTGCAGGATGTCGTAGTACTCCGTCTCCTTCACCATGGTGCCTGCAGGCGGGAGAACCGCGCCCGTTAACGGCTGCCAGCGGGGGAGGCCGAGACGGCCTCGTTCCCCCCTTCCCAACGGC